GGGCCTGGCTCACAATCTCTGTTCTTGTTCATCCCAAAGGTGTTTGATGGGGTTGAGGTCAGGGCTCTGTGCTGGCCAGTCAGGTTCTACCACACCAGACTTACCCAAACATGTCTTTATGGACCTTGCTTTGTGCACTGGGACACATGCTGGAACAGCATCCCCAAACTGTTCCCACAAAGCTGAAAGCATGCAGTTGTCCAAAATGTCTTCGTTTGCTGAAGCATTAAGGTTTCCCTTCACTGGAACTAAGGGCCCTAGGCCAACCCCTGAAAAACAACCCCACAGGATTATCCCTCCTCCACCAAACTTTACAGTTGGCACAAAGCAGTCAGGCAGGTAACGTTCTCCTGATATTCGCCAAACCTAGATTCATCCATCAGACTGCCAGATAGAGAAGCGTCATTCATCACTCCAAACAATACATTTCCACTGCAGTCCAGTGGCAGCGTGCTTTACACCACACTTTTACAGTGTATAGATGAGCTGATGTGGAATGACTCTATCCTTAAAAGTGGTTGTGTGTGAGGGCTGCATACCATTTATAAGAAGCTTTCTGATTTAGATAAAACAGACCTTACTAATTGTCCTCTACAGGAAACTGCAGAACAACACTGACCTGAAAATGTTTCATACAGTATAATAATTGGATAAATAGTATGTTGTGGTGCAGTGATGCTGCTTGATAACTATACTACGTCTAAATGATGGGTATAAAGGGATTTCTTACCTTTTTTCTTTGATCGTAGGGTTGTCTTTATGTCAGCATCCTCTGTGTCTGTGTTGGGGTCATGAACTCTAACAGCATCCACACTTTGATAATAAACCACAACCATCTCTGTTAAATCTTCTGTGTTTAGTTTCTCGATCCAGAGATCATCATCATAAACACTCTGAGACATTTCTGATCTATAACAGACTAAAACACTGAATTACTGCGTCTCTGTCTGTAAAAACACCCCAGTGCTGCACTTCCTGGCTGGTTTAAACATTAATAAAGGAAGTGACCAAGCGAGCAGAGCTCTGTTTAAACTGTTTCCTGTGTGCGGTTGAGCTGTGAATACAGTGAAACTTTCATACTCTGCCTCGCAGTCTGTTCTGACCAGTACCAGATCATCAGGTTATGGGCTTCTGGGTGCAAATGTTTGTTTAGTTAAACAAGGCCAATGCAGCACCACAATGGCAGCATAACTGCAGTGTTGCATGTCACCACCTATCTCAACATAAACTCCAAGGACAAGTGCAGCAAGTCCCCATAAAGCATGCGTCTGTTCTTGACAATCAAAACATGAACCCCAACAAAGACGAGATATATTACAATCGGACAGCTGAAATTTAAAGACAGTAAAAAGCAGCAACCTTAAAAACCCAGACATCATCTTATCTCTGATGATGTAGATCACTGCCAGGGATGGGGGAGTGGCTAAGTAGCGCACTACTTTTTGTAGTTAACTACAAATTTTTGTAGCTAGTAGCTGTAGCCGCTACAGTTTTATGAAATGTAGCTATAGCTGCATAATCTACAAATTTTTGTGATAATTTTGGCTACAATTTCGCTACAGGCTTCAGGAAATCTGCACAAAATCTGAACCACAGATGCGGTCATTAACTGGGCTGGTGGCGACTGTGCAATCCTGACTGAGCCGCGGACAGTTCGAGCAAACGGTCACGCACTGATCACCCCTTACTCTGGAGTCGGCAGTCCAAATGTTAAGAAGAGCCATTTTGTCCTTTCAACAAAAATGAAACCACCTTGGGAGCCACAACATTTTATATCCGTTTTACCATCATGGCTGTAAATAAGTCTCAGTATGTGCTGATGTTCTAGTACAGGCTAAAAATATAAACACAAACGCAGACTTACTTTGCTCTGCTTTAAGCTTTAGCTCAGAGTTTCTTGTAAAACATCTCTCAATGTTCGACTTTTTATGAGGCTGAGGTCGCTCCTCATTCTCCAGCTTCTTGTTCAGATTGTCCAGTTCCACCTTAATTGGTGCCTGAGGTGCCAGATAGTACTGTTGAGCCATTTAAGGTGGAACGGGAGAATTCGGACGAGAAGCCTGATTCTCACCCTAAACAATTTAACAACAATTCAATTGTGTATTTCTTTCTTGCACATAATTAAAGGCAGTGGGCTTGTTTGGCGTGTCAGGTGGAGATTCACAAACATTCAGACAATCTCGCTTTGAAAGTAGCTAAAAAGTAATGCACTACTTTTCAAAAAGTAGCAGCCACTACTTTTTTTTGGAAAAGTAGCTAAATTGTAGCTAGCTACAAATTTTGGGAAAGTAGCTACAAAGTAGCTAACTACTAATTTTTCAGTAGCTATCCCAACCCTGATCACTGCCAACAAGGACGAATCAATGTTTTATCTCTGGTGGTTGAGATATTTAGGTTTCTTCTACACTATTGAAGTTACTCGTCTCGCTTTTACAGCCTCCTCAGACACATTTTAAATACCTTCATATTCGAGGTACATTCACAGGGATGCAAGCTCAATGCTGAAAACCTGAAAGCTTGAGCAAGATAATGAAGGATAGTGTTTAGGAATGATGTGGAGAGGGTCAGGACTGCTATTCTAAAGAGTTGTGAAGTAATGAGTCAGATGGCCACAGCTGTGGAAAGGAGAATACACAACAATAAAGGCAAGAAAAAGTCTGACAGTCATTTTCAGTTGTGACTAATTGAGAGGGAAAACAGCTATACAGGACAGCGGGTGGGACCAAATGTATACGCATAGACAGCACACAAACCTGAAGAGAATTATAGGGTTTATATTTAGCGCTTCTGCCGGTGCAGTATTCTCTGTTATATGATATAATAAAGGTCTCATACAAGCGCCTGAAGAGGCCCACCTACTCAGTAAAAAATCCCTTTAAATTCAGTCATTTCAAGCATGCGGTAAACAGCAAGTTGCAAATATTGAGAGGGACACAAACTCTCCACGACATGGAACAGGTGTCAGAAGTGCTGTGTTTGTGTAATTTTTGACACGCCTCATATCAGTGGTAGAATATGCTTTAATATCAGAATAAGCGTTATCTTACAAAAGACGATGAGGTTGATAAGACAAAACATTACATATCTTGTTCTTGCTAAGCTTTAAAAACAGGCCAAACAGAATTAATCAAGCCTGGCAGTGTCTAGATTAACTGTTCCCAACTATCAACTAAATTTAGTTACCTGGCTGATTGAGTTACTAGATTCTCAGTTGGTGTTGAATAATGAGATTTTCTCCCTCAATAAATAAAATTATCATATAAAATCTGTATTTTATGTTTACTGTCTATCTTTTATTACATTTTGTTTAAAGATGTAGTGTGACAAGGTTGGGAAGGTGATAAAAAAAAAGGACAGCACGGATTACCTGTTAGAAAATTCCGCAATGGAAATGAAGCTTTCTATCACTTTCTATCACTTTTTTAAGCTTTTATTTTCAAGCAAAAATTGAATCTCAATCATACTAAGACTAAAAGCTCTGAGATTAAAAGAGAGGGAAGCAAGTAATCACTGTAGAATGAATCACTTCATTGAGTTCAACAGCTACGCCAATGCAAGTTGTGTTAAAATCTATATTTCTTTTTGGAAATTTTGTTTATTTATTTGTTAAAATATCTGTTATTTATCATAGCAAAGTCAAAAGATCAACCTGGAATCTTCCTTTGAGATCCCTCATTAACAGTAGGATTGGGAGGGTTACTTTAAAAATGTATTCTATTACAGGTTACTGATCACCTGTATTAAATATTAAATTACTATTAAAGTAACATAATCTACTTACTTTCCATTACTTTTTGATTATTTAATTATATGACTTAAAAAAAACTAATAAAACCCAAGGGAAAAATGTTTTATTTTAAACAATAATTTAATCAAGACATTTTTAACTTAACAAGACAAACATTATACTTCATATAAACAAATCCTCATCTCACATTTAGTGAAATGGTCAAATCTAAATATATGGAAATATTTCAAACATAAAGATGACAACATTGTACAGTATAAGTAGTTTGAGCTTAGACCTCTATATTCATGAGCAGTTAAAAAGGTGGTAAATTTAGAAATCGAGGCACAGCTCCCCCCAGGAGTGATTTTAACAGGAAAACAAAAAGGTACACTGAAACTAAAAGCTCTGAGACTAAAACACAGAAACAAGTAATCACTGTAGAACGATCAGTTCACTGAGTTCAACATGAAAATGCAATGTAGTTAAAAACTGCGTGGCTCTCCTGGGATTTTGCTTTGTTTTTCAAAATCATTTGTTTACTATTCCACAGTCAAATATCAATAACACACTTACTAAAATGTGTATAAACTTCAGCCCAGGTGATCACAAGAATTTAAACTATGTAGTGTTACACTACTGGAAAATATTTCCTGTTACTGTAACATGTTACTTTGTCTTTGCAGAAATATAAACTGGTCAAATCCATTACAAAACACACAGAGATGGTCAGTGGTTGGTCAGCCTTCTGTAATCTTCTACAGAGAGTTCAGTCTTTTAAACAGACTGGGCTTTGTTTTCTCATCAGAATTATCCCTGTTTACTTTCCATTACTGTTTGGTTATTTGTTTTTTTAAGTGATATAATGAAATAAAACACAAGAGAAAAATGTTTCATTCTAAACAATAATTTAATAAAGACTTTTTTTTAACTTAACAAGACAAACATTATACTTCATATAAACAAATCCTCATCTCACATTTAGTGAAATGGTCAAATCTAAATATATGGAAATATTTCAAACATAAAGATGACAACATTGTACAGTATACATAGTTTGTGCTTAGACCTCTATATTCATGAGCAGTTAAAAAGGTGGTAAATTCAGAAATCAAGGCACAGCTCCCCCCAGGAGTGATTTTAACAGGAAAACAAAAAGGTACACTGAAACTAAAAGCTCTGAGACTAAAACACAGAAACAAGTAATCACTGTAGAATGATCAGTTCACTGAGTTCAACATGCAAATGCAATATAGTTAAAAACTACTTGGTTCTCCTGAGATTTTGCCTTATTTGTCAAAATCCGTTGTTTGCTATTCCAAAGTCAAAGATCAGTTTGGTAACATACTTAATAAAATGTCTATAAACTTCAGCCCAGGTGATCACAAGAATTTAAACTGTAATGTTTTTCATTACTCTGTTACTGGAAAAAAAGATTTCCCGTTATTGTAATATGTTACTTTTCAGAGTCTTTGCAGAAATATAAACTTGTTATTTTTGCATTACAAAACACACAGAGATGGTCAGTGGTTGGTCAGCCTTCTGTAATCTTCTACAGAGAGTTCAGTCTTGTAAACAGACTGGGCTTTGTTTTCACATCAGAATTATCCCTGTTTACTCTACCATCAATAAACCAACAGAGGTCATCAGAACACAGGTCAAATCTAATTAGTACACAGACAGTTATTAAAAACATAAATAACTGCTGCTTTAACTGTTAACATGCAGCTATTCAAATATTCTCTTCTCACAGATCCAAACAAACAAATAACTACAGGGATAATCAGCCCAGTTGTTTACAGGATCAGAACCCTCACCAATTATTACACAGTGTTCATATGGTCCATTGGGTTCTGTAGGTCTCCAGAACCTGAAAGAGACAATCAGAGTGTCACTGTGTTTATCAGATCAGTGAGTAGTAAAAGTCAGTAACTCTGTCATGATCAGAGTTCAGTTCAGTGGTCTCTTACTTAGTGGTCAGTGCTGAGCCGTCCACCCATTTCCAGACATCTGCTGTCTCACTGTCTGTCAGACCAATCCAAGCCCGACCTCTTCTTAATTTCTCAATAAAATCCTGTTGAAGTGTGACAACTGTTCATACTTTCCCAGCAACCCTCTGCACACACTCTTCATACACACCTGATCATGTGCGTAACATGTATCACTTTTCCTCAGTTAGAATCAGCACTGTTGTTTAAGCAGGAAGCAGATAAATTACTGTAAACTATTCTAACCCAGTCTGAGCTTTAAAGCAGTTTCTACTGAAAGCAGAATAAATTCAGAAATCTGTAGGTGCAAAGTGACCTGTAATATAAAAAGGCACCTTATTTTCTCTCTCTCTCTCTCTCTCTCTCTCTCACCTGTTCCTCTCTGCTGTTGATGATCACCAGGTCTGCTTCTCTCTCTCTGCAGTCCTCTCTGCTCTTGTTCCAGGTTTTACTCTCAGTAGAGATGTAGTAAACACTGTAGTTGAAGTATCTCCATTCTGGATTTTTAATCCATTCTGTTCAGACAGAATGTAAGATGTGAGCTGTTCTGCATTTCCATGAAAACACAAACACTTTCTTAATAAGAGTTTAGTACAACACGTTCAGTTAACTGGGATTTCCACCCATTTTTCAGCATAATTCAATCACTGAGATGTGAACAAAGTCATTCAGAGTGTTTGTGTGAAATATAACAGTGTGTAGTAGAGAACATTACTGAAGTCACTACAATGGAGGGGACAGAAACAAAGGGAGTAGCTTTCAGATGCATTAATTGCTTCAGATATCTGATTCCTGTCACCATCTTTGACTTGTTTAGTGTCTCTAGAACGGCACATTTCACATGAAAAACTTGAATGAATTTGTTTACATCTTAAGCTACGTTCACATTACAAGCCTCAATGTTCAAATCCGATTTTTTGCCAAAGTCTGATCTCTCTGACAGGATGGTTCACACTCGTTTAGGTAAGTGATTCAAATCTGTCATTAATGTGATGAACCGGCGTCCTGAAATGACTCACACGCGCACATCCTACTCAGTAACGTCATGTGAATGAATCGTGTGTGTCACGTGCATCATCAGCAAACAGACTAACGAGCAGAACGAGCCTTCGCTGTGAAGATAAAGAACTCTGATCAGCTCTCAGCTTCATTATTAGAGCGAGACGAAGGAGAAAATGGTGAGATGTGTTGCTTTTCCACTGTTTACAGGCTTTAACTTCTGTTTGGCACTGCTGCCATGGTAACGCTGAATGATGGCGCACGTGCAGTGGAAAAAAAGCACATAAATTCCGATCTGAGCGTTTACATTAAGGTTGCATGGCCACGAATCGGATACGTATCCGATCTAGGACCACATATGAAAGTGACTCAGGTTGGATTTGAAAAGATCCGATTTGCGTGTCCACACAGCCCTGAAAACATCAGATCTGAGTCACATTAGGGCAAAAAATCGGATTTCTGCCTCTTCAGCCTGGTAATGTGAACTTAGCCTTTATTACTGAATTATGCAGCTTAGAAAAAAAAACAGTGGAAGACTTAAAAAAATATTATTTAAAAAATTCACATCACTTACCCAGTTCAGACAGCCTCTTCTGTAATAAATCTCTCTCTGTCTGTAACTGGTCTCTCTCTATGGTCAGGTTGGTGTAAATGGTCTGTAACTGGTCTTTCTCTATGGTCAGGTTAGTGTAATTGGTCTGTAACTGGTCTCTCTCTATGGTCAGATTGGTGTAACTGGTCTGTAACTGGTCTCTCTCTATGGTCAGGTTGGTGTAACTGGTCTGTAACTGGTCTCTCTCTATGGTCAGTTTGGTCTGTAATTCCTCTTTTGACATCATTAAGCTGTAAAGTTTGATCCACAGTGCTATGATGGCCGTCAGCAGGAGGACACACAGCAGCCCCAGACACACTGCAGTCAGTCTGTAGAATCTGCTCTCTGCAGTGTGACTCTCTGAACACACAGAGATACATGAGCTTTAGTCATAACTGATAATCACTGTTTAAGTACTGATAAAAGCATCACCCTTACAGTAAGAGATACAAATCTCTCTCTTTTCTTCTCTTTCTCATATAGGCCCTGTACACTGCCTTGGGTTTCTATGAAAGATGTTCAAGCAAATTCTCCAAACTCCTAGCTTATTTATGAAACTTTGCAAAATTCAAAACTCTACTCCAATTAGTGTTTTTGTTATTCATTTTTAAACTTTGACCCATCAAGATTTTAAAGGATGACTGAGCTGAGCTGAAATATTAAATGCCCCCCCAAAAAAACAATTCCAATTCCATACTTTCAATTAATTAGTGTCTTGTTTAATAAATACTCACAACAGGAGCATCTACCTTTCTTGCCAAAACATTTCAGTCAGTTTTCAAATTTATTTATGCAAACGTTTTGCAAGGTTTTATGTAGTTGTCCTACATTTCTATCAAATCTCTGATTTTTAGTGGCTATATCTGCTATATCTGAAGGTACACCATGAGTTAAAACTTCAAAATAAAAAAGGACACAGTGTCATTGATACAATGCACTGAAAGCTTCTTGAGTTCTAATAGTGCCAGAGGTGTCCAACATTTTACATTCCTGTCTGTGGCTGAAGCCTCAGCCACTCCAGTGCTACCAATGCTGAAGCCTGCCTACAAGCCTCATTCATTACATCTCAATGTGTTTTTTTTTTTTTTTGGCCAAAAAACAATATTGGATGGCCATGATCTTTAGGCCCTCAGGCAGCACTGCATTAAAACAAACAGTTCTATAGTAGAAATCACTGCATGGACTGAACACAGTTTGTTGCGGCATCCACAAAGGTCAAACTCTAAAAACACCGCTGCCTTCTCTGGGCTCAAGATCATTTAAGATCAATTGAAGTGAAGTGGAAAAGTGCCCTATGGTCGAATCTAAATTTTTGTAAATCATGGATGCCCTGTCCTCTGTGCTAAAAGGAAGAGGGACCATCCGGGTTGTCATAAGTGCACAGTTCAAAAGCCAGTGTTTGTGATGGTAGGGGGTGCATTTGCGCACATAGCATGGGTCACCTGCACATCTGTGAAGGCACCATTAATGCTGAATGACACATACAGGTTTTGGAGCAACATATGCTGCCATCCAGATGACATCTTTTTCAGGGAAGGTGTTGCTTATTTCAACCAAGAAAATGCCAAACCCAATTTTACACACATTACAAAAGCATGGCTCTACAGTAAAAGAGTCCAGGCACTAAACTGGCCTGCCTGCAGTCCAGACTTGCCACCTATTGCAAACAACTGGTGCATTATGAAATGAAAAATGCGACAAAGCAGACCTTGAACTGTTGAGCAGCTGAAATCCTATATAAAGCAAGAATGGGAAAACATTTCACTTTCACAACTACCGCAATTGGTCTCCTCGGTTCCCAAACATTTACAGAGTGTTGTTGAAAGAAAAGGATTGCAACACAGTGGTAAACATGCCCCCGTCCCAACTTTCTTGAAACGCATGGCATCAAATTCAATTTGGGCATATATTTTTCAGAAAATAATAAAGTTTCTCAGTTTCAACATTCGATATTCTGTCTTTTTCAAATAAATACAGGGTTAAAATGATTTGCACATCATTGCATTTTGTATTATTTACATTTTGCACAGCGTCCCAACCTTTTTGGAAAGGAGGTTGTGTGTTGTGGTGAAGTAATGCTGACAGACAACAATACTACTTTTAAATGATGGGTGTAAAAGGAGATTTGTTACCTTTTTTCAGTGTTTGCAGGGTTTTATTTGCGTTGGCGTCCTCTGTCTCTGTGATGAGGTCATGACCTCGAATGGTGTCTGCACTCTCATAGATAACCATCAACTGCTCCACTTCATCTCCTCTATAAGCATCTGCACTCTCATAAAGATCCACCACCATCTCCACTTTATCTTCTTTGCTGAGCTCCTCAGTGCAGATAACATCATCATAAACACTCTGAGACATCTCTAATCTATAAAAGACTAAAACACTGAATTACTGCGTCTCTGTCTGTAAAAACACTGCAGTGCTGCACTTCCTGGCTAGTTTAACCGCTAACAAAGGAAGTGACCAAGTGAGCAAAGCTGTTTAAACTGTTTCCTGTGTACACTGGAACTGTGAACACTGAAGTTGTCACTTACTGCCTTGCAGTCTCTTCTGACCCTAATACAGTAACACTAACAATAGAGTGTAAATAAATGTGAAATCAGTTCAGTTTCTGTGTCTATATTCATGGTTTTCACGCATGATGTTGAATGTCCAGGGTATAATATCATTGTACTTTTTTTAAGTCAAATTAAGTTTCTCTTTTACTCATAAATGAGCTGAAGGCACTCATGGTTCCATTCAACAAAGTGAGCCAAAGTGATGCAATGCTTTAACAAGTTCAGTAAGTACGTCACCGTGGTGGTGATTTACACACTGGTATCTCTTCAAAGCTGCTGTGTTTTCACCACGTGTCCTAGACAAGAGCAAATCAGAATTGACATGAGCTCAAACTGAGGTCATGCATATTAGAAACCCATGCCAAGTGAAGCTGTACTTGATGGCCAAAGTGCATATGATGAAAGAAATGTCATGAGGCAAACGTGTTGCCCATCACCAGGACTGTGTGTGTGATACTTACCTGAACACCTACCTGTAATACTCACCTGTTGTCTGTTTCCTAACACCAGCAGCAAAAGGGAGGCAGAGCAGACCAAGCTCACTCATGAGCGTGCCGGAGGGCCCACGGCTAGCTCATGAGAGGGGTGATGTCTCTACTTAGGGCACAGAAGACAGAGTGAGACAGGCTAGTCAATGCGCGCACTGTATGAAATGTCCCACCGGTAATTTCACGCATTAAGGCCTTGTGAGATTTAATTATGATTTTATTCATCCTTGTTCTTAATCCACTCTTATAGGACAGCAACACCCCTGCAGAGTGGAATGGTTCAGCTCAGGTGATGCCTGTCTCCTAACGGGGTTCGGTGAAGCATCGTCACAAGAAAGCAAAACAAAGTAAACCGAAATTCTCATCCTTTTCCACTGCATAGCTCAGGTCAAGACCATCTTAAGGGCCCAGGCTGGCTTTGCGTTAAGCTGCTTCTAGAGCTAAACTGGCAGTGTTTCTTATTTTTAACGAACATGTTATTCATGTTCCACTTATTAGTCTGACATGAAATTACAAACAAGTTCAATGCACTTTTTTTGGTTGGAGATGGGGAACAGGAAGTCCTTCATAGTGTTCAGTTTTTTGATATTTAAAGCAGCGTTATGCAAGGAATTTTTATTACTGTAATAGTAATACCGGCTTGTTTGTTTTGGCTGTGCTTTTCCATGTTTTGCCAGAGTTTAGGTAAGGGTATTAGCAGTGCCTGCCTGCATTGCTCCAGTGGACTGTGTGTTCAGTCATGGTGAAATCGTACTGCGGCCCCATTGTGCAAATTTGATCCTTTGCAAGTGTAATGGCTCACAGACAGGATTAGTGGTAGAATTTGTTAGGTATATTTCTGAGACAGAAAAGTGAGAGAGAGATGAGATGATTTCAGTTAGAAGGGTCATGTTGATGTCCTTTGAAAAAGACCTTTTGAAACGATTTCATAAGTAAATGGTCTGCATTACTCTTTAATGTAGCACTTCATTGTTTTTTAAAGCACTTGAACTGGTCTCGTTTCATATGTAGTTTCATTTTTTGTGTTTTAATAAAAGCAACTTTTAAAAAGAGTCATGATTTTTGTTAATTTAATATACTACATACACATTGCAATGGGGTTACATTTGGAGACTTGACTAGAACCTGAAGTTTAGGACTTGGGACTTGACTTGGGACTCACTTATGTTGACTTGGGACTTGTCTGCCTTAACTTGGGACTTGACTCGGGACTTGAGTGTCAAGACTTGAGACTTAGTGACTTGTTCCCGCCTCTGTTTTAAGCATTAGCCTAGTTCATAATTTAACCATGCATAACTGGCTGGTTTGTTCAGAGCAGAGGTAGGGAGGTAATGAAGTACTAAAAGGACTCTTGGTTGTCATTCCTTGTACTTTCTAATTGATACGGATTTGTGTGGGTTTTAGAGAGCAGCTTTGAGGTAAAGTAAAAGGGGTTAAGTGAAAAAGGGTTAGACTTGATATACTGATTTTGAAAACAGCTGATTTCTATTCTGGGAAAATAAAGCTGACCATTTCCGTTTTCTTTATTGGTGTGATAGTTCTCCGTCCAGTCCTCACAGCCTCCCAACGTAACTTGCAACACATAGGGATAGAGCAAAAAATGTGAACTGTCTGCAGAGCCCTGAGAACGGGTTTGAGATTCACTGCTCCACAACCCATGCAGTCAGTGCTCAACACAACCTAAACCAGTGTTTCTCAACCCTGGTCCTGGAGGCCCACTGCCCTGCACTTTTTAGTGCTTGTCCTGCTTTAACACAGCTACTTTAACTCGTAATGGGCTGTTAATGAGCTGATTAGTTGGATCAGATTTGTTGGGAGCAGAGAAAAACACTGAAAGTGTAGGGTAGTGGGCCTCCAGGATCAGGGTTGTGAAACACTGTTGATGTGGTTGATTGAGTGGTTGCTGAAATTTCCCCCGTGGTGACAGCTGAGGTTGCTCCCGAGGTGACAGTTAGTGTGGTCGCTGAGGTTGCCACCATGGTGGCTGCAGGGCTTTTTAAAAAGAAACTTTAATCAGCTGGGTTTAGTCAACTTGCCTGCTGACAAAAAGGGGAAGATACCAGCTTTCTGAAACCCACACTGGGTGTTCTCAGGGGTGGTGGCCTTTGGGTAACAGTACTTCAGATCCTGCAAGAACTGTTTCTTTCCAACCACTATGTCCCCCTGCACTAAACCCATGCAGTGCAGTGACATGGCGCTCTGCCTCCATGTAGCCCTTTTCAGATACTCTTTATATATAGTGCACCAGGGGTAATGAATGAATGGAGGGATGCTCACCTACACTGCACTCACACAGCAGTGCACAGTGATGTGCTCCCTTGTGGTCAGCTGCTGCCAGTAAGTATGCTTTCTCCTTGGTGCAATGAACCCACTATCTGGACCTTGGCTTGTCCCCAAACCATGTCTCGTCACAGTTGAAGAGACGGTGCGGCCAAAACCTGTTACCTGGGCCTGTCTGTTTATTAACGGTCACCTCCCATCTGATCTGATCATGCTGTGCACCTCTTAAGTTTAACTTTTTTCACCACAGTAAAGGTGATGGGGAAGCCATGGTTCACCATCTGTGGAATGTAATAGGCCAAGACCTCCTCTTCATCCACTGTGATGGTGCAGTTAGGGTGATGTGCCTGCACTACAGCCTTTGCCTTGTTGTCCTGAAAAGTTGTGTGAGGAATCACATATTTCTTTGCAGTTGCCCTCAGACTGCTCTCTGCCTTCACCTCTTCTAGTGCCCTCAACAGGTTCTCTCTGTTTTTTGTACTGTTTTTTTTCTTTTTTAATCTTAATGTTACTCATTCTGTGGTGTTAATGTTGCAACTTGCAAGGTAATTTCACTGTTAGTTAATTTATATGGTCTGGGCTTTTTTCTTGTGTTTAACTTTTAACAATTCAAAAAAACTGACAAATGGATTGAATTTCATTAATGGGCTGTTTATAAATGTAATTTAACCAACAATAATAATGATAATAATAGTGGTATTATTATAGCTTAATTCACTGTGAATAGTTGTTAAAACATGGATGTTTGAGCTAATTACAGTTATTTTTACAGTTGAACTCTTAGAAGATGACATGACTTAAATTGCAGTTACAATGTGTAATGTCATCAGTTTGTTCAATGAGTAAAGCTGCAAAACAAAGGCGTCTGCGTCCAGTGAGGATGATGTGGAGCTGGAGTTTTTCATGCTTTTAACGTTTATAAAGTTCAAACCTCTGATTACTTATTTAGCATTAAAATACTAAAAGCTATGACACTCGTTTGATGTTCAGTCTTGGGTTAAAAGGGGTTAAACATACATAAACTTGTCAAAAAATCTTTTCCTTCCTCATAGCATTCGCATTCATGGGCTGGAGGTTCAATCCCCAGAGCCGACAGTACATGACTGAGGTGCCCTTGAGCAAGGCACCTAACCCCCAACTTCTCCCTGGGCGCTGCGGATAGGGCTGCCCACCGCTCCGGGCAAGTGTGCTCACTGCCCCCTAGTGTGTGTGCTCACTAGTGTGAATGTGGTGTTTCACTTTACGGATGGGTTAAATGCAGAGGTTGAATTTCCCTGTTGTAGGAATAATAAGGGTCACTTACAAAAATGCCATTTGCACACTAGGTGGGTGGTTTTTTGCTCCCTACCAGGACTTGAAGACAAAACACAATGTGGGTGGTTTCAAAGAGTCTTTAGATGCAAAGCACCTCATGGATCTGACTTATAACTCCCTCACTCACATACTCATCCATTCACTCACGCGTGTTTACCAAGATTATTGTTAGGAAACGTTATAAGCTAGGAGCAGATACTGACTTTCATGTTGGAACCACACGGGGGCGCCAACCACCTCTTTTATGCCTGTATTAACTAAGGTGAGGGGCTCAACTAGAAGAGAGAGACCAACAGCTGGAAACGGTGTTTTTTTTTAGAACACACACACACACACACACACACATACATATCATATATATATATATATATATATATATATATATATATACAGTATATCTAAACAGAGAGCTGTGTTTTCAAAACTCACGTAGTGCACTTTATAGTGTCGAAGTCCTACGGATTGAGTCACAGCAGAAAATGTGTGGTGAGTGGGTTCCTAATTGCAATAAATTAATTGTTTTATATAAATGCGCTCATTTCTGAATATAGAACCATCACAGCTTATAATATTTTAGCAATGACATTTTGAGCACTTTTGAACGCCGCTTGTGAGACTTCTCACAGTACCTTATATACAGTCACTCATTATTTGTCTTCTGTAGAGTCATGGCGCCCTCTAGCATTTCCCAGTGCTGTGTGATCTAACGGGATGAACAGCCCGTGAAAGCTTCACCTTAAACTGGCTCTGCCAATAGTTCCACTGTCTGTGCGGTGTCGTTCAGTCAAATAAGTATGGTCAAATAAGACAGCACAGGAGCGAACATTTCAGCTCTCTGTGACTGTCTGTCTGATATCTGTGACTGTATGTATGATATCTGTGACTGTCTGATATCTGTGAGTGTCTGTCTGATATCTGTGACTGTCTGTGATATCTGTGACTGTCTGTCTGATATCTGTGACTGTCTGTCTGATATCTGTGACTGTCTGATATCTGTGACTGTCTGTATGATATCTGTGACTGTGTGATATCTGTGACTGTCTGTCTGATATCTGTGACTGTATGATATCTGTGACTGTCTGTGATATCTGTGACTGTCTGTCTGATATCTGTGACTGTCTGTGATATCTGTGACTGTCTGTCTGATATCTGTGACTGTGTGATATCTGTGACTGTCTGTCTGATATCTGTGACTGTATGATATCTGTGACTGTCTGTGATATCTGTGACTGTCTGATATCTGTGACTGTCTGTGTGATATCTGTGACTGTCTGTCTGATATCTGTGACTGTCTGTGTGATATCTGTGACTGTATGATATCTGTGACTGTCTGATATCTGTGACTGTCTGATTTCTGTGACTATGTATGATATCTGTGACTGTATGTATTGTATCTGTGACTGTCTGATATCTGTGACTGTCTGTGTGATATCTGTGACTGTCTGTCTGATATCTGTGACTGTCTGTGTAATATCTGTGACTGTCTGTGTAATATCTGTGACTGTCTGTCTGATATCTGTGACTGTATGATATCTGTGACTGTCTGTCTGATATCTGTGACTGAATGATATATGTGACTGATATATGTGACTGTCTGATATCTGTGACTGTATGTATGATATCTGTGACTGTCTGATATCTGTGACTGTCTGATATCTGTGACTGTCTGTGATATCTGTGACTGTATGTATGATATCTGTGACTGTATGATATCTGTGACTGTCTGTCTGATATCTGTGACTGTATGATATCTGTGACTGTCTGTCTGATATCTGTGACTGTATGATATATGTGACTGATATATGTGACTGTCTGATATCTGTGACTGTATGTATGATATCTGTGACTGTCTGATATCTGTGACTGTCTGTCTGATATCTGTGACTGTCTGTCTGATATCTGTGACTGTCTGTGATATCTGTGACTGTCTGTCTGATATCTGTGACTGTCTGTGATATCTGTGACTGTATGTGTGATATCTGTGACTGTCTGATATCTGTGACTGTCTGTCTGATATCTGTGACTGTCTGATATCTGTGACTGTGTGTATGATGTCTGTGACTCTCTGATAACTGTGACTGTCTGTCTGATATCTGTGACTGTATGTATGATATCTGTGACTGTGTGTCTGATATCTGTGACTGTCTGATATTTCAGATTTACGGAGGCTCAGCCTGTAGCCCTCTAGCGTCGGACGGCGAGGCGAGCATCCGGAACCATTTGTTGTTACATGAATTTGGGGACCAAAACACAGACGGACAGTCGTGAGCCTTCGGTCCACATGTGCGGAGAGGAGCTGTTAGAGAAGAGCGGATAAACAGCGGACATGGTGAGGCTGCTTCAAACACGTGGCTCTGTAAAGAGAACCAGGGCTTCTGCTGCGTCTCGTAGTCTTTATTATAAACTCACTGTCTCCTCTGTCGTTGTAGCCGAAGGCAGCGAAGGCGAAGACGGCGAAGGCGAAGGCGGCGGCGGTGGAGAAGGTGGTTCACCCGTACAGCAGGAAAGCGGCGTATCTGGCCAGAGACGCAGCAAAACACAGCCGGAAAGAAAAGTGAGAGCGCCGCTCTGGATCTTAGTGGATTAGTGTGCTAAACTGATGTGAAAGAGTCTAAGATTAGTGATGGTATAAATGGGGCTTTTGAGAGATCCAATCAGATTAAGTCAGCTTCTCGTTCGAATTTTCCCGTTCCACCTTAAATGGTCAGGTACCTAAATGTAACTACTGTACCTGTTAAGGTGGAACGGGACAATTCGAACAAGAAGCTGGCAAATAGGAAGCCCAACTTCAGCCTCGTAGAAACGGGGCTCTGAAGCTTCTGTCTACACTTGCTGTTTTTTTTTTTTCTCAAGGGGAAACTCCACCGAACTCTGCATAATTAAATGTTTAAGACGTGAAGAAAGTCATTCAGCGTGGTTTGGTGTGAAATGCTGTTTTGGAGAACCTTAAAAAGTTAGAATTGTTCACAGTGGTGGTGATAGGAACCAGACGTCCGAGGAGTTTAACGCCTCTAAAAGCTCCCTCACAGCATGAAATGGTTAGATAACCAATATGCTCTACCTTGCCTGAGACATTGCAATAGTTTTGTCATAGTTTTGGCTTAAAATGTATTTTAATCAATTTATTTTAACCCGTTCTTGGTGGAGGGATACACTCAGGGTGTTGTAAGGTAAAGTAGTCCTATTTGTTCAGATTTATGCTTATTTTACCATCACCATTACATATAAAAACCAAGAATACACGTGTAGGTTCACTAGTGGTTTTTGGATAGTAAAGAAAATGGTTGTGTTTGTGTTGTAGACATCTCTTGGTTTCTATCACCACCACTGTAAAATATTCACTACAATGAACCATTTCACATCAAACCACTGTGAATGACTCCGTTTACATCTCAACCACCGAATTTTGCAGAATTGTTTAATTCCCAAGGGGAATTTTGCCTATTTTTCAAGCTTTCTGTATAATTAGGTGAGTTAATCGTAGTTAAGATGTGAAGAGCGTCTTTCAGAGTGGTTTGATGTGAAATGTTTGCTCTAGAGAAACTTACTGAGTCAGAATTGTTCACAGTGGTGGTGATAGGAACCAGACGTCTAGAACGTTTAATGCCTCTAAAAGCTCCCTCACGGAAAGGAATTATATGCATAGGTTCTGAACTCACTTCTTGAAGCCTGAGACATAGTCTTCTGTAAAACTACCTTAAAACTTTTTTTTTTCAGATTTGGTTTACTGCTGTTTTACCATTTATCAATATTCCATATTAAATAAGCAGAAGATACATGTAGGTTTACTAGTGGTTTCGGATGATAAATAAAATGGCTCTAACTGCAGTCTGACATTATATATGTGACAGTATCATAATGTAGTCTACTTACATTAACCACATATTGTTAGCCCAAGTTAACTAACATATATGGCCTTTAAACAGTCAACATAAAGTCGGTAGCTCACAGCTTTTATGCTTTTTGTTATGGAACTAACTACACAGGCTAACTGTTAGCTAACGTACATTGGCAGGCTGCAGTTTACAGCTAGACTCAACAGAAGCAACATGATGTCTAAAAAAGAGTCAGTTGTTGTCTGGTTACCCCTCATGTGTACAATTCAAAAACAGTCCTCAGGTTTAATGAAAAACCTGCTCATTCAAATATCATATCATAGTTGTTTGTTGTAAATTAAGTGAACTTTTTAACCAAAAGTGTTGGTTGAACATTTATCTGTTTGTTGGTTTATGAATAATCAGTTAATCATTATCCCCAGTCAGTTTAAAGAATGGCATTCCACTCAAATGGTTCTGGTTATGTAGTAACTGCGATTGGCCTAAGTGTGTGTTGATTGTGTTTGTTTGTTCAACTCTTTTGCAGGTCAAAAAGTGAAAAAGCCCAGCGTTTAAATTTAATCAGTAAGTTCTGAATTTCTTGCTTGGATTTTTTTATTTGATGATTAACGAAGCTGTCCTGAGTTGTGCAGTGGAGTCTGGATTTGTACATTTGACCAAATCTGCTTGAAAGTATGCATGTGAAGAAAGTAAAATGCGGCCTCATCTCTTTTCCTTGCTGAAAATTTAAAATGTATTTCCTTTCCCAAATAGCACTGCTGGTAATGTTGTCTGTGTAGATGCCGTACGTTTGTTAGCTTCAGTTATCCACTGTTATTCTTGCCTTGGGGTGGCCTTTGTACAGACCTGTTCACATCTGTTCTCTTACCAGATGTTCATTGTTCATCATAGCTCTCTTTATGTTTATGCAGGGATGGTCAGGAATTATTGATAGTGCATTTAAGTAGCATGTTTTTCTTTCCGTTTTGAATGCATCCGATCCATGATCTGAAACTTCAGCCCTGGTTTTACTTGCTGCCACACGGGAACACGGCATCATGATCAACATTTTCCAGTTGATTTTTATGGCATTAATACTCTTGTAACCATATCAAGTTTGATGTGCTTAATTTTTCTTAATTTTATGGGAATGTGCGGAAAAGATGCAGAGGAAGAAGAAAAGTATTTGTTGAGTAGTAACAGTTACATCATTTACTCAAAGACTCAGAGATGCAGTGACTGGGTAACAGCCCATTCTGCTAAACAAAAGTGCAGCAAACCGCACAAGATCCACCTACACATGGGATCTGAAGCTGTAGTATGTGGTGGAGGCTGTGTTTAAGCTCAAAGCTCAGAGCATTAAAATGTGTGAACTTACCACAAACAACCATGCTCTAATGTAAAACATGAAATTAGTGTAAAAGTTTGTTTTCAAAACTGAATGTGCCTTTTGGGCTGTAAAACACAGACTTGGTGTGAAGTCACCCCCTGCAAATAAGCTGTCGTAGATATACTGAAAGTGTAACTGCAAAATATGAGTAGTTATAACAGTAAAAAAATAGAATTTTATTCAGATTGATCATTTTTTTCCTTCAAAATTGACGTCGCAGTCCTAAGTATGTCCGATTAATGTGCGTAATTAACAAAACTTTGACTAATGAGTTCCATCTGTCATCTTTGTTTTTCACAGGGGAAAAGCTTTTGTGGTTTCAGAGTCAGCTTGATGCCGAAAAGCTTGAATATACCAAAAAAGATGCTTGCGAAATCATTGAGAGGTAAGGCTGTGCACACCAAAGTTGATGGAAGGCATTTTTGCATATAATGCAGATAATTAATTCAGATTTATTCAGAACTCAACAGATTCATGACTAGTAGCCCTGATTCTCAGTCAGTGGTGAGTATACTATTCCCAGAACTAGGGTTGGGCGGTTTATCGGTAATGAGGTGTACCGCAGTATTTAAAAATGGTGCCAGTATTTCAGGATTAATGCTTTTGCTGAGTATAGTAAGAATTTTCACCTGAGAAAATTATAGGTGCACACAACAAAACACAACAGTTTCACTCCAACACCAGTCACTCGACTTTGTACTCTCAGAGATCCTCTAAATGGGTGTCCTTGTAGCATCAGTCAGCTGAAACCAAGCCTGTGCTGTGGTGTGTGGCACAGTTTGGGTCTGTAGCCTGCTCGCTAAGCTAACGCTAAGTTCAGATCCAGACACCACAGAACAGGTTTAGTTTCGCCTTTCTGTCCCTTCAGCGCCAGACCTCCCTCTTTCAGATTTGAATCACTATCATTTAAACGGGGTTCATTGCTTTAGTTAGCCAGAATCTGTGGTGAGCAGAGCTGTTATGCTGCACGCCTATAATAGATGGTTCTTCAAGGGTTCTTTAGTCAAGAGACTGGTTCTGTTTAGGACTATAAGTCTAATATAGAACCATTTCATGCTTAAGTGGTTCTATACAGAACCTTCTTGAAAATGTTTCTGTAGGGTTTTTCTTTGTTACATACTTGATATGGTAACAGTAGCAGAACTCTTTGTTGCTGTATAGAACCATATGCAACTCATTCCCATCAATCTGAAGAACCATTTAAGCATGAAATGGTTCTAAATAGAATCATTGCCCTTACTAAAGAACCCTTGAAGAACCATCTTGTGTAGTGTGTAGCTAAGCTAATGCTAACCAGCGCCTCTCTACTAGTTAGCAGCACTGTTGAACATTCAGTAATTGGTAGATAGATGGTTTGGCACTTATTCTAAGATGGCTTGAAAGTTGTGCACTGTGTTCACTTATTTGGTGATCATGTATCAGATTTACAGAGAAGCTGCACTGGATCCGAATTCCCTACATACTTGAATAGTGTTGGACAGTGTATTGAAAGTCCAGTAGCGCATGCTGTTTGGGCAGGGATGTGTCCACTATCATAAGTACAAACACTCTACAAGTTTTATTCAGTAACCTTTATGGCCTTTTGGTTTAAGAGACAATCAGTATAAGGTGTTGTGAACAGGCTAGACTCATAACCTGCCCTTTCGATGAGGTTGAATGTGACCATGTTCTTTTTATTTAGTTCATTTAATTCACATTTGAATGGTTTTGTGTTAATAAAGTGAGAAAACTAGAGAAGTTGATTAAAGGGGAATTCTGCTGCTCTTTGTCCCAGATTTTTTACAGTGATGATGATAGAACTAAGAGTCAGTCTGTCAACAGAGCCTGACTTTTAGCCAAATAACGCAAGCCCAAAGATGAGGACTGTCTAATGGGAATGTCCCTCAGCTTTTTTCCTATTGGACAGGCTTATCTTTGAGCTTAAGTTATCCAGCTAAACTGAGAGATCATGCTTTGTGGAATACCCCCCTGAACATGTCTTTTGGGTGTTGATATATAATATGTGGATGATGGTAAGACGCGGGGGGGGGTGTTGTACTTTTTGCCTTAGAACACCCTGCCTGTACCTCTCTGGCATTAAAGGACTTTAAAAAATCTGTTTTAGGCCAAATTCATCACGACTGTGAACCTATCAGTGTGGCTCCTATTAGCATTGGCTGTTCTAATAATGTGTTTGTTAATATTTTGCCATAATACGCTTTTGATACGCAGCATCGTCACTGGTATGTCACTGGTATGAAAGCCAAGATTCTGGTCTCGTAAAAAAACATACCTTTGACACTACGGGACTCGCGGAGCTGATGGCAGGTTGTGTTGTCTATCCCAGGTATCTGCACCGCTTTGATGATGAACTGGAGCAGATCGAGCTGGCGAACAGCATCAAAGGTCGTCAGGGTCGGCTGCATGGCTCTAGAGAGGCCGTCATAAAGCAGACCATTGAGAGAGAGCGGATGCAGTTCGAGGGCTGTGGATTCGGTGGGTGCGGCTGTCTGTGTTGTTCTTAACTTGCAGCATATGAAAAACACTTGTTTGAGTGTTTTTCCCTTCTTTTATCTCAACAGAGATACCCGACATGATCAACTCCAAACATTTGAAAGCTTTCAGGTGAGAATCTTCTAAACTCTTTACATCGAAGTTTAAGGAATAAGCTTTAAGGTCCAGCCTCACAGACTTCAGTCTAAATTAAAGTGCGTATGACAAACTAACATTGGAAATTACTTTTAGCCTAGGTTTAGGCTTAATTCTGGTCCTAAAGTATGTGAACTGGTCACCCCATGCATGGTTTCTGAAGACTGAGTCAATTTCTTAATTTCCAAAACAAAATAACCCAGCGCTGGATTTTGAAGTTGAATTGAAACCTTTTGGGTTGGAACAGTTAATGGCACTACATTGAATCAGGCAAAACTTTCTTTGTAATTGAATAAATGTAAAGAAATTAGTGTGTGGTGAGAAAAACGGATTCTCTTAGTATTGCTGAAAGAACCTCAGAACAAAATAGTAATATAGGGCCAATATGTCATTTTTCTTCACTTTATTTATTTGTGTAATTTTTTTTAACCCAAGGTCTATGACGTTGTTTGTGTGTTTGTATGTACCAAAAAGAGTAATAACTTATTTTTGCATGAGTCTTTTCCAACTGCTCTTCATCTCTTTGAATAAAACAGGCTTTTTTTCCGTGCTTTAAAGACTGATAAATGTAAATGAAGTCTGGCCTGATTGGCTGTCCTATATGGCGCCTCGTTCAAAAAGCAGTCTGTGCTGAAACACTCCTTATAACTCCAGCGTACATGCAATTCCTGCAGATCCTTCAGAAGTCTTATAATGCCTCAAAACAGATTTGAAAAATGGAAGGATGTGAAAAGTCTGAAAATTGGCGTTTAATTTTAGAGGTGCCATAAACAAAAGTAAGGTGCGTTTTCAGAAGGTAACAGGTAGGTAACGTAACGTGATCACTGTGTAGTCTGTTTTCTATGGTTTGTCACAAATGACATGCAAAACCATTATTGTTATTCACATTATTCATGTATAAATTATTTTGGTCAAGTTGTTAAATTTAATTGTTGGACCAGTTGTTAAAGGGTGATTAAAAAAATAAAAAGATCTGCACTCAGTTACTCAGTGATGGTGAAATTGTGCATTATAGAGGAAATTGCTGAGTTTATGCACCAGTGAGCCTACTAACATCTGAGTTTTTATATGTAATGTTGGTAATAGTAAAATTAAATTGTGTAAATCTGAAAACAATGTTTTTTGGGGACTATTTTGCATTACAAAGCCCTTCATGTACCTTTCCACCATAAATGAACTATAAACTAAAAATCTCAACTATGGTAAAACATTGTCTCAGAAATCTTGCAGCTTATTCATCCATTTCCATTTCCAGTAAAAGCTTTGCGAGAAACAGATTTTAGGGGCATTTTCACTTCAGATGTCTGGTTCCTATCACCATCACTGATTATATAGTTGCTCTATAATGGAGCACTTCGCATCAAACCACCCTGAATGACTTTACATCTTAACCACTTACATCTGACAAAAACAGGTGGAATTCCTGTGGAAAACGTTACGTCGCCAGTGTGTGTTAATATCATTTCTAATACATTATGGAATTTTGCCTGTTTCATGTAGGCCGACAACAGCGCAGAACACTTATTTAAAAACTGTCAGAATTCTCTGTTAATGAACCATTTTTGGTTGTTATTGGACAGAGAATGGGACGGTGACATGAGGAAACTGCCCAACATCAAGATGAGGAAGGTTTCAGCAAAAGGGTCAGAGAGTAAACACAACGCAGCTCAGGAGGTGCACGTTGAGGAAGAGAAGCATGTGGACAGTGAGGAAGATGAGGTCTCTCAGGACTCTGATGGAGATGAACTCTTAGGAGATGACTCTGAATGAAACACAAGCCTGGACTGAGCTCATGTGGCTCCAGATACAGCATACACAACAGAGAGACTTTGTAAGACAGAAGCTGCGTTCCAAAAGCTAGACTGCAGCCGAGAAAGGTGGGTCCCCGCTGTTCTCTGAAGGCCCCTTATTTGTATGTCATAATGCAGAAAGGAAAAGTAATTGATGAGCTGGCAAGCAAAACATTAACATTAAGGCTCTCTCTGATTGGAACAGCCAGGGATGACGTAGCTGTCTAGAAATGCAGCCCCTCTGGCCTGCAGCCTAGCTTCTGAAACGCAGACCATGCAACCTGTGTGTGTGTGTGTGTGTGTGTGTGTGTGCGTGTGCATGAGCGAGAGGGAGTAAGTATCTTTTTAGGTATTTTTTTTAAAGACAGAGAATCTAATTTATCTGGTTTCTTAGTATGCAAGTCTCTGGCAGGGGCACCATGGCTCTTCCCCATCCACGCTCCAATAAAGAAAAGACCCCCAACTGAATCATTGTATTTTGAAATTTATTACAGTGATTAGCGTTTTGGTTCTGTGTGTTTACTTTCTTTTTTATTTACCAACCACCGCCCAACAAACGAATATGTCCTGTAGGGTTTTTCACAAAGAGGCTTTTCTCAGTTTTGCCCTTGTAACAAAGTTAGGATCAGTTAAGTCAAATCACTTTTTCTAATATTAGGTGTTTCCACATTGTACAAAAAATACACAACATAATTTCAGCTCAGAGGAACAAAACCAGGCCCTAGGCTCCGTAAATTTGAGCAAAAAGTGTATGTAAGGTGTATCCGGCTGCAGAGGCGCAGTACCACAACTTTAGACCCCAGATTTTCAGACCCGCACCTTCAGCTCCCTCTGTTTTGGAACTGCAGCTGCACTTTCAGCTCTCATGAGCATGTGAGTAAACGGTGAACTGAACTTCTACTACATTAGTCTTATTAGATGAGAAAAAAATTAACAGTGCAACTATTTGTGTTCATGGTAACATTTTTGATTCTTTCAGTACCAAAGTGTGTTTTGTATTGCAGGCTGCTGTTAAGCACACACAGGTGTAAATCATTCCGATTACCCAGCTGCTCGTTCACTCTGCCTGACTATCACTTTTCCAGCCAACTCTCGACCACCATCTACAGGTAGATCACTGTGCACAGAAGACATTGGACCTCATTCAACAAACGTTATAAAGACGAGATTTCATCCTAAACCGCCCTTATGCAGTTTTTAGAAGATTCTGACATTCTAATGATTTCTTATTTGCGATTTGTTCTTGGGTAAGAACAGAATCTAGACAAACAGTTCTGCAGTTTAAGAACACATCATGTATCTGACATAGACTTTTTCTTAGGACCTTTCTCCTAAACAAAGAAGAAAAACTTGAAGATTTTAAAGAATGAGGCCCCTTTTTCCCCTGACCTATGCAGTGTGCTAGGTAGGGAGTGGGAAGCCATTTAAGATTCAGCCATTGTATTTGAGGGTTTCAAAAAACGTTGCACACTACTGTCCGTGCCCTTCATGTAGTAAAACTCAAGGTACAGCAGCTACTTAGCCATGATGTTATATGATAGAACATCATATCTGGAGCTGAGAGCGTGGGTCTGACAGCCTTGGTCTGAGAGTGTGGTACTGCAGCTGTGCAGTTCAACTTCTCTTAACACTGTTAAAAAAACAAAAATACTAAGTCCAACGTGTTAGAAATGTCTAATATTGTGGTGCCTGTCCTAAATATAAATTTATATATCGTCGCTGTGCAAAGAAAAACAAGTATCTCCAAAATAGTAACTTCAGACAAAAACACTTTTACCTTTCAATGTAAGTCATGTAAAGAGGTTTTATTCCAAGAGATTTTAGAGCAATTCTGTTGGTCCATGCATCATTTTACACAACATGAAGGACAGCCAGTGTGTTGAAATGAAGTAGAAAACTAAAAATCGACAAAAATGGAGATGCATGGTTTTCTCTGGACAGTGACGATCTGCTTTTGTGAATAATCATTTTGTAACTTTTAGTTACAACAGCTTTCATACAATTAGATTGTCATTATATCCTGTTATCATGGTTGACAAACTAACCCTGATCTACAAAATTCATGTTCATGAAGCAAGAATCTAGAGATTCTTCTTTAATGGTTAGTCCAGCACTTCATACTGATTTTTGGGGGAGCTCTTGTCCCAACTGATAATCAAAGGAACTCTTCTCAGATCTTTTCATGATCTAAGAGCAGAATATTAAATGAGTCTGAAATAGTGCAGGATGGGAAAGGCATGGCTGATTTCTGGGTAACTAAGAATTCTGTTTGGTGATTTTAAGTGTGTTTTATACCGTGAGGATTGTGGGACCTGAGGAATGGCTTGAAAACAATCATTTGGTTACATATGCATTAGTTTAAGAGATGTCACCAAAGTAGGACAAGCTAAAAATACAATTTCTTACACACAGTCCAAAATGATGCCTCTGTATAGCATCTGTGTTCTACTGGTTACCCACTAGAAATTCACATCTTCATAAATAAACCTCTGAGGCTCTGTTGTTACTTTGTAGTTCAGTATCAGCCCTCGGTTTAATGGTTTTTTTTGAACATCATCTCATCACACTGTGGTAAGCTAAGGCCAGAAACATGCTTCACGCTAGTACGCACATCACTGCATTATGAAACGTAAGCCTGAGCTGCATTCTGGGTGTTACAGCAAGGGGTACTATAGTGACAGCAAAGCCTGACCAAACTGTTTTGTACTGCCAGCGTGCTATGACACATCACCCCCTTTATTCCGATAGAACTGTTAAAGCAGCCTATGCTCTTCTACTGTCCACACATTTAGTGGTTGTGGCTGTTGGAATAACAGTAGATCCTGTTCTAATTTTTCTTCTTTTGCCCCCTTGTGCTCTGAGTGTTTTAAGCACCACAGTAATGTGTGTACAGCAGGACTGTGCGTTTGCAATGCATTGGATGGGCTTGTCTGTTGCGTTTGCATGCTTGCGTTGAATGTTTCTCGTCTTTTGAGTTCTAAAGCCTATATGTTTTGTCCTGTGTACATTTTTTTTCCAAATATCACTGCGTAATTTTTGTTATGGGGTCATTAAATAGTTCAAATATAAATATTGTTAGATATATCCCTGTTGTCGGAACAAAACCTCCTATCTCCAAAATGGTAACTTTACTGGAGAAGGAAACTTTTAATGAAAGTCAGTGGAACCAGACATTTTCCATGTAATTTTGGGTTGTTTCTTTGGTTCCATTCATCATGAAATTTACACACAATGTAAAGGACAACAGGTATTTTCAAATTATGTCAAAGACTGAAAAACGGCAAAAATGGAGATACAAGGTTTTCTTCCGACAGCAGCGACATGCTACATGCAGGCTACAGCTCTATTCACAGGAAGTACTTTTTTCCTGTCAAAAAAGGATTTTTTACATAGTCGATTCTTCCCCCCCCCAAATCCAATGCAGGAAGAAGATGAAAGAAATGTTGACTCCTCGACTTCCAACCTCACCAAAATATCCTGTGCAAACAAGCAAGCTTTGTCAGCTGCGGCAAGAAGCATCTTTTGCGGCAGCAGGGTACAATTTTAGTAGCCAGTATTATATAATAGTGTTAAGGTAATGTGTAGTTGATGTAGTAGCAACTAATGTCAGGTATGAATGGAGTCTAAGTTGCAAGAGAGTTAGCTTGCATGTAGCAACATCCAAATTTGGACTATTTAATGGCCTCGTATTTAAGAGGGCTAGGGTTGCAAAAAAATGTTTTTTGATATTCTAATATTCATGTGAATTAACTGACTAATAAATAGTTAATCAGCTTGATTGTGTCCTGTAATGTGAAGAGAGGTAACTATAAAATGTTTGGCAATGTTTTGACAAAACAACGTAAATTTTCCATTTGATATCTGCTCATATCTTCAAGTTAAGTCATTAACTCACTCTAGGTTGGACATTAAAAACAATCGCCAATGGAAATATTTATTTTAATAGACGATTATCTGTAATGTCAAGTAGTTGTTTCAGTCCAAAAGAAGAGCCTGTGATATTTGTGCACAGGGCAAAACGTATTGGCTTTAGGACATTTTGGTTTACCACAGGGTGAGATAAAAGCCATTCATTTTTCCCCAGAAAGATGCCTTAAAGTAGAGGTCTTTATTTGGGCATGTCGCTGACTACAAAGATAATGCGTGACCTAAGAGATCGACTTTTCTTCCCCTGATGGTCGAAAGGGAAGATATTACTGCTTTACTGAATTAACTTTCCTTTGTGTTCACCACACTACTTTTCCGAACTACACCCAGTCTGTTTAACTAGACTGCTGCCACTCAGTCACCATCTCAGTGGCAGTAGTGCACACTAACATGAATTTGGGACACAAGCTGTCCTTTTAGTCCTGCTTCCAATTCCAGAGAGAGACAAGATCCAGCTGCCTCCCCCTGTTCATCCATAACTCAAACAGGTGCCGCCTCTGCACTTCCTGTGGGAGCAGGGCAGGAAGTGTTTGTTTGCGTCTGGGGGGCAGCAACAAGTGCCGGTTCGTGTCTCCCGTTGCGGTGGGTGATGGGAGGCGGAGGAGGTGGGGCCTTTTCATCTCCGTTGCGGGCGGAGTCGGGGCAGTTTTGCACGAAGATGACGCGGTTGAAGGCCTTCAGGCGCCTCCACAGCTGCAGGTAGACTTTGCACTGTATGTACATGAAGATGAGGCCGCCAGCGAAGCCGATGGCCACCACGATGAGCTTGGTCCAGAATGGCCACTCCAGCACCCCTACGGCATTGAGAGGGGACAAACGCAGCAACGCTGTGTGTGCAATAAGAGCATGCCATAGTATTATAGCATTATATTCTACACCAGCTACACTGACTGCTACAATAGCATCATATCAAACTGCCAGTTTATTAGGTACACATACCTTGTACTTACATTTAAGTGGTCACTTTATCAGGTATATCATATATAAGTGCACTTTATAGGTTTACAGTTACTGACCGTAGCTCATTATTGCTGCACTTTTCACACCTTCATGTATAACGAAGCGGAAGTCATCAAAGTAGGGAAAACATACAGCAGCGACAGCTTTTACGAATGAGAATGAAGAGGACTCGCTCTATTTTAGATCCTTAGGACTTCTTTTTTCCACTAAAGATGATGTTCATTTGGTGGAGCAGTTTTCATTATCAGAGATAAGCAAACATGACAAAGTCTGCATAAAGAAGAAGACTAATGATGCTGCTTTAACCAATTTAACCAAGGTGAAAAGCTTTCAACTCCAGAAGGACTTGATAATTACCTCTTTAGTTGGAACGGGTGTGTGGAAAGCAGGGAAACACTAAAATGTGCAGGGCAGGTGGGCACTCTAGGCCCGGTGGGGACATTTTAGGACATTGTCGTCAGTCTTGCTCCACCAAGTCATTTTCTATCATGATGAAAGGAATCGTGTTTTAAACAGATTTAAGTTGTGCCTCCTCTGTCAAGTACACCACTATTATAAAACATTGCAGATACCACTCAGGTATCTGACATCTGATCAATGACACCTGATGACTGTTGTCTGATATCTGAAAGTCTCCTCTGTCAAGTACTCCAGAATCATAAAACATTGCTTCAAGCCTCAGTTATCACCACTCAGGTATCTGACACCTGTTCACTTGACAACTGATACCTGACAACTGATGATTGAGTGGTATAACTGAGGCTTGATACTCACGTACTTGACTGATGAATGGCAAATGATAGCTGACTAACAACTGACGACTGATATCTGACACCTGATGACTGATAACTGACAACTCATCCCTGACTGACACCTAAAAACTGAGGACTAATAATTGACAACTGATACCTCAGTGCCTCCTTCTTCAAGTACTCCAGAATCATAAAACATTATTTCAACCATTCACCATTCAGTTATTTGACACATGCTAACTGATACCTGACACCTGACAAATGATAACTGATACCTGACAACCGATGACTGGCAACTGATACCTGACCGACACCTAACAACTGATGACTGATGAATGACGACTGATACCCAACACCCCCGATAACTGAAAACTGATGACTGGCTACTAATACCCAACTGACACCTAACAACTGATGATTGATATCTGACACCTGACGACTAATAATTGACAACTAATACCTGATAACTGATGACTGATACTCAACCATTGATACCAGAGTGTCTCCTTCCTGAAGTACTCCAGAATCATAAAACATTGCTTCAAGCATCAGTCATTACCATTCAGGTATCTGACAACTGATGACTGAGTGGTGATAACTGAAGCTTGATACTCAAGTACTTGAGAGAGGAGGTACGACTCGATTCTGTTTGAAACATGATTCCTTTTATCCTGATAAATGATGACTTATTGGAGCAAGACATAAAGCTGATGAAGATCCATGATGGTGCCCTAAAATGACTGTACCAGGGTTGGGAACTACTGGCCTAATATATCCCAGACTTTGACGTGCACCGTTGCTAAGGGAATCATGAGCCATTTTTAACAGATAATTAGTCTCTGTATTGGAATTCATTTTTAAAGTAACCCTTCCAACCCTGACCATATGGTAGATGTACCTGATAAAATGACCAATGAGTGTAGCTGCAAGTAAGGTGTAGCTAATAACTCTGTATATACCTAATAATATTTCTGACGTTATATTAGAGTACATTATCTACGTTATAGCATAACTACAGTTTAACGAGTTTGTGTGATTTTACCATTGTTGGTCTTGCCTTGCCGTATCTCTTCAGCAGTGCGGTTAATGAGGATGTAGAGGGACCAGATGACGCAAATCACAGCCACCAGGTGAAACATCACCGAGCAGAAGATCTTCCTGCGCTCACTGGTAGACATCTGCAGCTTCTCCCACTTAGAGAGAGAGACAGAATGAGAAAACACAAAAGGAAGAGATGGAGAGAGATGGAAAGGCATCACATTGCAATGTGGTAAGAATTAATTTGAGGCATACCAACTCACACTGTAATTCCTCTAATAGCCACAGGGTGGCAGCATTAGACTTCTGTAATACACCATTCATCCCATTAGATCACAACTATTCATTTTAAAGCATTAACATTTCGTCGCTGTCCAATGAAAAACATGTATCTCCATTTTTTGCGATTTTTACTTTTCTGCATCATTTGAGCTCAGCAGATGTCCTTTACATTGTGTGACAATTTCATGATGATTGAACCAATAGAAATGCTCCAAAATTGTTTAGAATAAAATATCTTTCCATTAACTTACATTGAAAGTAAAGAATGTTTTTGCCCTCTCCTGTAAAGTTACGATTTTGGAGATACCCGTTTTTTTCTTTGGACAGCGACGAAATGTTAATGCTTTAAAATGAATAGTTGTGATCTAATGGGATGTTATTACCACTCAAGATTTGTAACATGTCTCTGCACTTTTTTTACAGTTTGATGGACTGGAGCAGTGTGTGAGGAGAATACACTGCTATACAAATGCACATTATATGAGAGTTACTATGGAAACTGCACAGTGAGAATCAGACATGCTAGACAGCAGCAATCATGATAAATGAGTAATAATAATGGTATGTGACTATACTATGGATATTTGTGGGTGTGATGGAGTTGCACTTGCAGCGAATGTAATAATGGTGGTGTTTTTGTCTTTCGTACGTCACTCAACCTGTTAACTGTCGCCTCATTTTTGCCTGAAATGGCGTACCTAAAGTAAAAGGAGCACTGGTCCCACATCATGATCTTGATCTCATTTGAAAGGTAACACTCAAGTTTTTTTCCTGTCGGAATAATTGTATGAATTACTGACAGTAACAGAGTCTAGAATGGAGGAGTTTATTTCAGCCTGACTATTTCAGATCTCAAAACTGTTCTCTGACTCTTGCTCTGTTATCAAGACCACATGTTTTGACGTCTCTGTGGATAGTGGCAAGGCTTTAATGTAAGGACCCACAGATTTGCTAGTGTTTGCTCATTCGGTGCTTATGTTGCAAATGAGATCATCGTTACTGCTGTGAATAACAGATCATAAAACAGTTTGAGGGAATCAAATCCTGTGATTTCAAGCTTTCTAACGGTGTGTTGCATCACCGTATTGCTGGACGATTTCATGCATAAAAATGATGCATAAAAAAACGGATGTGAGCACTTCTACAGAAGTGTGCTGGAACTGGTACAGTAATCTAGATAAGGTTAAGGCAGTGGTCTTCAAACCAGTCCCCTGGGACCCCAGATTGGGACTGGTTTGAGAACCACTAACTTAAGGGGTGTCTCTTTAACCCTTTTCAGATTGAATTAGTTTCTCAGGGGGACTAAAATTTTAACACATTTCTTCAGTGATAAAACTCTCACGTCTAAACAGAACTAGTCAGTTTCTATTGGGTTGTAATGTACTTTATCAGAATGTAGCATTTAAATCTAAGGAACTGACACAGATACTACTAGTCAGTATTTCTAGAGAACCTGATGATGAAAAATTGATAGTGTGCATATCGTTGCTGTCCAAAAAAGAAAGCTAACTTTACAGAAAAAGGCAAAAATGTTCTTTACTTTTAATATAAGTTAATTTAAAGAAATTGTATACATCCAGACAAAAACATTTGGGATGATGTTTGAAAGCAGCGCACAAATAAATTATTTAAAGCATAATTAAACTTCATAGATCCCGGCCGGGTGACCAGGGTCGTTTCTGTGTGGAGTTTGCCTGTTCTCCCCGTGTCTGCGTGGGTTTCCTCCGGGTACTCCGGTTTCCTCCCACAGTCCAAAAACATGCAGTCAGGCCAACTGGACGTGCTAAATTGCCCCTAGGTGTGAGTGTGAATGTGTATGTCTGTCTGTCTGTCTGTCTGCCCTGCGATGGACTGGCGACCTGTCCAGGGTGTATCCTGCCTTCCGCCCAATGACAGCTGGGATAGGCTCCAGCACCCCACCGCGACCCAGAAGGATAAGCGGTTTAGATGATGGATGGATGGATGGATAAACTTCATAAAGTTTAAGACTCAAAACTTCTTGATGTGATTCGACTCAGGTTCAGGCAAAATTTCTGTGGGGGTCGAGTCGGGCTTGGACAGTTCCCTGGCTGTATTTGGGTTCAGACCAAAATTTCAGGCGTGATTTAATCTCCCTCTGATAGAGTCAAATTTATGTGTGAGTGGGTGGGTGTGTGAATACATTGCTAGGGTTTGAGACATGTTTCCATGGCAAACTCATACTTAAGAATGTGTATATCTGAGAGAGAGAGAGACCTTGTGCAAAAATCTGAAGCATGTCTCCATGATAAAGGCATATTTCTCTTAATTTGTATCATTTCCATCAGCACAAACATACATTTAACTGAAAATAACACAGAAGCCACAATAACTAAATATAATGTTTTTTTTAACCTTTATCTTTTTACACTATTACAACTTCCGTTCTTTATTTTTCAAAGAAATCTGCAGGAATATTTTTCTACTCCTCCAAAGTTCAGTCTTAGAAGTTGTTTTTTTTTCTTTTCATTTCCTGTTTTTTACAATCCATGTAGTGGTAATTGCAAATTTAGACTCAATAGTCCACAAAATCTTACTCCAGATCTTAGACTATATCTAGTTTTGATCTTCCAGTGCAAATTTTCTTCTTTTCTTTCGTCTATTTCCTTTTCTCAGTAAGCAATTCTTGACAGCAACACACACTTTTAGACTTATAGTGTTGAGTGTCTTCTCACAGTGGAAGGATGGACAGAAACACCTGTGGATTTTTGAAGAGTGGACTTTTCTCCTCTCTCTCTCAAAGATGAAAGCTTTAACTACTGTTTATCTGATGGTGACTGTTTTGGTGGTCTACCAGGTCTTGCACAGTTGTCTTTAATATTTTCTGAACTCCAGTTTTGGAAACGCTTTTTTTATTTTTTTTTACCTGTTTTCCTTTGACTTTCCCCTTCCTTATGCAAGTGGATTATCTTATATCTAATCTCCTCAGAAAAATGAATAACTTGTACTCATTGTCCATTTTGATTGGAAATGAAATAACTGAAAGGTGGTCTCCGACTTTTGCACAGCATGTGTTTGGTTATTACCTTGCGCAGGGGTTTGAGGTGTGTCTCCATGATGAAGTCGTATTTGCAGAGCTCACAGCAGCGTGTGTCGGAGCTTTTAATCCACTGGTGCAGGCAGCCCTGGTGCACGAAACGCAAACTCCCCGTACACCTGCACGGAGTGATGAGAGGACAGTCCTCATCGCCCTCACAGTGGCAGATCCTGCAAACCCACAAATAGAGCACAATAACAGAGCATCAGTGAGAAAGTTTTCTTTTTCTAAACTTAAAGGAATGGTTTGGCTAACAATGTGCATGATTTTGCACTTACCCCAGCTGTAGTTAATCAGCTCAGACACGTTGGTTGTATAAATTTTGCTTCTTTAGTTTAGTGCTGGAGTTATAAGGTGAGGCTAATGTTGCTACAAACACTAGAAGTCAATAGTCACCGAAATGTCTTCTATAAACACACACCCAAAACTCTTCTCAACCCACTAAAAACACATCCAGCTCTTCATTAAGGTCACACAGACTTGTCATTGTGGTTTAGGACACAGTATGACTTACTGTGAACTGTAAAATTGAACAAAACCTCAGCGTGTAGCTGAACACAGTGGGCAACCATTTAAGACATTTAGTCATGCAGGCATATGGGTGCTAGATAATGTTCTCAGTTTGTTATTTTGATTTATAAACATACGTTTTCAGTTACCAAATTCAAGGTTAACGCAACAGAAATGCAAATGTAATCTGTAATGTTCATTCAACTTTCAGCAACACAATGAAGTTCTGCTCATTTTTATAGTTCACAGCAAGTAATACTGTGCAAAACCTTAGTAACCACCTGGGATACCATAGCAACCAGTTAACAATCCCTTTAGGGACCTTCACTTCAGGAAATGCACTTCTCAAGTTATGGTTGTGAACCAAACCAAGTCTCCATTATAACAGTTTCATCTGTACTGTATGCATTGTTCGCCTAATTTACATTTAATCTGCATACAATTGCTGATTCATTGGTACAGATGAATCAGCAATCATATGCAACATATGTCTAATTTATATTTAATCTGCATAAAGATATAAACTTCCATCTGAGGGTGCTCTTGCCCCCCTCTTTGCTCATCTCTCCCTTTCCCTCTTATTTCTCCCTTCTCTCTCTCTCTCTAATTAGGCTTAATCATGCTTTCTTGTGTTCCTATAATCCTGAAAAGCACTTTTTCCAATAAATGTTACCATCTTTCTATTTCAGTTTCAATTTACGATCTCTTCTTTTTACTTTTTTTGCAGTATATCACATCACAGAATTATAAATGAGTGTTTTTCATACATTTGATGTTTATTTTAATCATGCTGTGGTGAATTCGTAGCATCAGTGCAAAACTAAGGAAGCAAACTTCAGATAGCAAACATGCCTTGACTGATCAACTACATCTGGTATAAGAGGGAAAACTGTGTTCATGTTGGTCGCACTATTTAGCCACCCATCTTTCTCTCTCTCACCTGCACACCTCCAGCTCATCGTCAGTGCATGCTTGCTGTGCGGCGCCGTTTTGATCGGCCACATTTGCATATTTCTGAGCAGTCGGGATGGCCATGTCTGCGTCCCCCGACCCTTGCTCCTCATACGACTTAGTAATTGGCTGCTGCTCCTCCTCACTGGCCCTCCCACTCCCTCTACCGTGACTGGCCGCCTTGCTCTGTGGCTCTTCCCTCTTTACGGATGACCGCTTGCGACTCTTAAGAGTGGCACCCATGACCCGAGGGGACCTGTTCTCTTTCTGACCCTCGTCCGCATCCACAGGCGCAAGCTTGACCCCGTCCCGCCCATCCTGTCCCGCCGTGAATTTGGGCGTTTGTCGGCTGCTGCTGCGCCTGCGCCGAGCCTTCTCGCGGCTCCACGAGCGAGCCTCCCTCCACCGCTGCTCGTCGTCCTCCGAAGACGAGTCCGAGTGTATGCGTGTGTGTGTGTGCCCGCGCAAACGCTTCGTGTGGTCCACACACTCTGAGACGCAACCCACCGCTCCGCCCCCATTGCTACTCTCCCTCCGCCGCCGGTGACGACGTTTCACCTGCCGCCTGCCGATGGGGGCTGAGTCAGAGGCGTGGTTTACTGGCATGATGGGTGTGGCTAAATCTGAGGCATCCTTTCCAAACTTGACTGGACCGCCAGTACTGGACATGTACACACCACACACACACGTAAAGAAACATGGGGAATGGAGAACACAGGACATAGCATGAAATGAGAGTGAAGGGAATGTACAGGGCAGAAAATCATAATGTAACATGAGCAAATATGTAGTATGGATGGGTGTGGTTGTTAAATGGATATGGATCATTCTACTAAATATGTTCAAGCTGCTGTCCCACAGCAAGAAACTCTTTGAAAACAAACATTTAAGTATTCAGACCTTAGATATTTAAAAACAAATTATGATCCATGAAACCCCAAGGCATTAATTGAGAGATTAATAAGCTAAATATATGCAAAATCCTCATTTACAGGGTCCTTTCTACTAGGAGGTCTGTCCCAAATGTTAACCCCTAAATTTACACTAGTGAAAATAACACTTAATAACGCATTTCAATGTTTTTTTAAGACCATTTCTTTTAAAGTTAAATTGAAAATTTTTGATTTATTATGAATCTCTTTTAAATAAAAAAAACTTCATAAATTCAAAAAATGCTCTCCTACATTTTCATATCTCTACTGAAATGCAGAGTTTTAGTCCATAGTTAGATCCCATTGTTTTGATGAAAATATGTTCCAAAGTCTGAAAAATCAGTGTGTAACATTTCAGAATTGTCACTGCTGAAACATAGTTTCTGCAATTAAGTAAACTCTTTTGTTTTAATGAAAAATGTTATGATTTTATGTACGTTCACCTGTTCATGGCTGTTTTTGCTCACCATGTTCTAGCTAGTGTTTTTAGTTCTGCTAAAATTATCACTTCTGAAACAGTCACTCCTGAAACATTTGGTAAAAATGGAATTTGTTTTAATAAATTAAACATTCTAAGAGTACAGTGTCACTCCAAGCCAAGGCATTTTAGTCCAAGTCCCAAGTTAAAAGTCACAAATGTGTTTTCAGCTTTGACTTTGAACCAATTCGGCAGCATAATCCATGTAGTAGATGCACAAGGCTTCCGTTATTGTTGGAGGCATTGTGATTTTCCGAGCTCAATCAGAGTGCAGTTCGAATTTGTAAGCTCTTATTATTGTTTTGTTTACCAGAGTAACAATAAAAGGCAGCTGAAGTGTGAAGTATACTCTTATTGATGTGTTTTCTTTTTGCAAATGTTAAAATAAAGATTTCTGCATTTTTTTGGCATTTTTAGTTCAAGTTCTTTAAATATCAGTGTTGAGAATCAATTTATTAACAGAGAAGAGCAGATTATATGGTTTTTCGTGTAGACCTTAAAAAAGCTATTCATTTAACTATATCAGAAAACAAACATTATTAAAACACCCATCCATAATGTAACATAAATATACAAATAAAAGATGAATCTCTTCTGAACTGGGGTTTATATGTGGGAGTTAAACTGTATTGTTTTCTTCAACACATAAAAGACCAGTTTCAGAGAGGATATGAAGACTTCATTCGCACACACACATACACCGTATATATCTGTACATGAGTGGAAGACTAATATGAGCGTTGTCACCCTCATAAACTCACCTGCAGATGTCCTGACAGGAGGGAGTGACTGATGTCCGAGAGGCGCCGTTCAGTACTGCCCCCTGGGTGGAGCTACTAGCCTAAAACAATCATATGGATATACAGATTTACCATCACTGTATTCATCAATCAGATTTGACACCTGAAATAGTCACAAAGAGGCATTAACTCATAGAAGCTGCAGTTATTATTATTTCTGGCAATAACAACAGTATTATATGATTTTATAGCACATTTAAGCAAGCAGAGAAACTCTTCTAAAAGTTCAGATTCAAAACTTTCAGTCACATTTGTGTTTGTAATCAGAAGATAACAGAGTACTGTACAAATCTCAACTACAAAAAAGAACAGTATGTGAAATGCAAATAAAAGCAGAAAGAAGTGATCAGTAAATTCTGTTTAACATTTGATGTTTGATGTTTTATCTTATGAACTTGAGTTGGGACAGGAGCATATTTATCACTGTGTTATATCACCATTCCAACACCTGACAGCACTTAATTATATGGGGACTGAAGACACTTATTTATCCAGGTTTGAAAGCAAATTTGTTTGCTATTCGTCCATTATACTAGTCATCAGCTGTGCAACTGCACAGGGCTTTCGTTGTCGTATTTTGTGCTTCATGAAGAAGGAGACAGGATTGCAGGCAGGCCATTCTACAAGGAAATTCACTCGAAAGAGGCCCCGAATATTCTGTTGTACCTCCTGTTAGCATGAAACAATCTGAACCAAAAAATATCCTCCATACTTTGACGTATGTGTAATCGATTGCATTACATGCGATGCTGGAAGTGAATCTCTGTTTTCTGCCGGACACATGAAGGGGTACGGGGGTATGCACCCGAATGTTGCAAACGGAGGTTAAACTTTGTGACGACTGTCCGGCGCCGACCTCATCGCTCCGATGTAGGGGCATCCCAGCTTGTTTGAAGCTCCATATACTGAGGAGCACATTGCACGTTGTTTGGTTCAGATTGCTTCGTCCTAGCAAGAGTTATTACAGAATATTTGGGGCCTCTTTCAAGTGAATCTCCCTGTAGCACCCGCATTCGGTGGTTACGCAGCCATGCTGTGGGCACTGTCATGTTCAAATAAACATGGACATATCTGGAAAAGAAAACGTCTATAATGTTTTATTTCTTTCACAGATAATGCTACCTTCACAGATGTGCAAGTTACCCAGTAATATCCACTCCCCAACCCAGATGGATGCAGGCTTTTGAACCTAATGCTGGTAAGAATTGGGATGGTCCTTTTCTACTTTGATCCAGAGAACAAGACATCCATTATTTCCATTAGCAATCTGAAATGTTGACTTGTCAGACTGCAATACACGTTTCCAAAAAAATTGCATCAGTCCATTTCAGCTCGAGCTCAAGCCCAGAGAAGTCAGCAGCGTTTCTGGACAATACTGACAAATGGCTTCTTCTGTGCATAGTACAGTGTTAACTTGCATTTGTAAAAGGTGATGGGGTAAATGTGATGATGTAAAAGGTGTTTATTGACAACAGTTTGTGAATTGCCGAGCCCATGTGGTGATATCCATGCTATTTTTTTAATGCAGTGCTGTCTGAGGTTTCAAAGGTTATGGACATTCAGTTGTGGATTTGGCCTTTGATTATATTATGCCCTGTAGAGGGTGAAATATCTACAATCCACTTGCAAAAAAGTGTAATTGCTTGTTGAGGAAGGTTGAGATGTTTTTTGAACATTTTACAACATTTCTATTCTTAAATTGCCCCTGTGCCAACTTTCTGGACTATGTTGCAGGCATCAGTTTCAGAACAAGCCTACATTGTATTATTTTCATTTAAATACAGGTCAAAATTGGTTTACAAATCACTGCTTTCTGTTTATTTGCAGTTTACAACCTGCCCCAATGTTTTTGGAATTTAGGCTTGTGTTAACATATTTTTGTTTTATTTATTTATCTATTTTTTGTTAACACATTTGTTTGCAGGTAGCCAGCCAGAACATGAATAGTGGTGCAGTGTCTTAAATTAAGCTTATTAAATTGTATTAAGCTTTCTATGCATGAATGGCATTTGAACACTTAATCGGATTGTGCGAGCATGTGAGAGTGTGTGTTACCTTTGAAATGTTGCTAGATCGACTCCCTGATCGGCCTGGTGCTTTCTCACCCTGAGGAAGAGATAAATGGGAATAAATAGCTGAATCACACACTACTTGAATGAAGCACATGTAACAGTAATCCTACATTTTCACTATGATCAGTTGCAGAAACAATTAAAAACATGCCGTCTAATCTCAATTTCCACATTTTCCCATTATGAAAACTATCAAATACAATAATTAAACATACTGAGCTTATGTGAGCAGTAAGTGAGCTCCCTCTACTCATACTAGTATGTTTGGTTATCCTTGTGGTGACCCACATTTGGTTATAATTATAGCTCGCCTACATCTAACTTTAACCTTAACCTCACTCTAACCCAAACCCTGACCCTAACCATTACCACGAACATTTACCTAACCACAGTCAGCACAAGCTTGACCCCAGAGCTAACTTTAAAGGGGAACTCCACTAATATTTAAAAAAAAATCCATATAATTAAATTATTATGCTGTAAAGAAAATCATTCAGAGGGGTTCAATACGGAACGCGCCCTTCCAGAGACACGTACCAGCTGTTCACAGTGGTGGTGATAGGAACTAGACATCTGAGCCTCTAAAAGCTACATCATAGAATTTATTACATTAAATGGTTATGAATATGCTGCTTGATGTCTAAGGTTTTGTAACAAGGCTTTGTCCTAAAATGTGTTTTTAAGCCATGCATGGTAGTGAAGAACATTCAAGGTGTAGTAAAGCAAAATGGACCTCAAAGAAAACTTTTTTTTTCAGACTTACCACTATTTTACCACATAAAAACTCATAAATTGCTGCATAAAATGTTATTTACGATAATTACACTTAAGACATTGGGATCCCTTGTTCCTGTTACCACCACTGTGAACAAATCTGTGTCAGTAAGTGTCGGTACAATGGATCATTTCACATCAAACCACTATGAATGACTTTACATCTCAATGACTACATTATTCAGCAATTTTGAGAACGTTTAACAGTGGTGATTCACAATAAAGCAATAAGCCACAACTGGCTGTACTTTACCACATACTTTTTTACTTTACCACATACTTTCTACCAAAGTTAAGAGGTGTTGTTAGGAAAATCAGAGTAAAACACCCTTAACTGGGACAAAAGTGTCTAATTGCTTATGTAAACAGTGACAAAATATAATGATACACCACTGCACATGCACTGAACAATTCTTCCACCAAACAAGGCAACTTCTAAACTGTTGGTATGACAAAGTATGCCTACTAGAATAAGTGTTTACAAATATTTATGTAGGTCTATGTCAGTTGCACTGAAGAGTTTATGTGGGTGTCATGCAGTCTTATGAACACTGTCCTACAGTAAAGTTTAAACACTTCTTTAGCTATTCCTATGTGAGTTCTAACACTCAATAGTCATAAGGACAGAAAAACAAAAAAGCCACATGCATGCATACTCACTTTAGAGTAATACAAGATGTGGTTATTATAGTAGAATATCACTCACACAATTGTATGACCTACAATTAAGGTAACTTAGAAATATTATACAAAAACTGCAATCACACACAGTAGTGGGTGCTATACTGGTTGAACCCATAAGTTATGAGTGTTTTCATAATTGTTATACCAGTATGTCACAAATAAGGGAAGGTAATGAGATGTACAAACACCCCTCGCCCCAACACCCTCAATCACCTCCCACTGTCTAGTCCATTGCATCTAAAATAGTCCAAACTGTTTTTGAGGCAGCAGACATAAATGAATGGCCATTTTTTGGGGGGTTAGTCTAACATCAGAAGAGTGATTGTTGCTCTTCCTTTCATACCGCCTGAGAAGCCACCTGACTCTGTCAGCTGCGCGCAAGCTGTGGACCAGCTGGTACTGATAGTGTGAATGACTGTTATATTTTCCAAATTCCAGAATTCGAAGGGGCAAGTATATGGAGCGCACATACAAACAAATGACAAAAGGTGAACCTGGCTTCTTATTCAAATTTTCCTTTCCACCTTAAAAGGTGCAGCAGTTACATTAAGTCGCCTGTGGTGCCAGAAAGTAACAGCTGCTGCATTTAAGGTGTAGTGGGAAATCTGCTGAGTAAGAAGTCTTGTAAAATTACGACATGAAACAACATTTAGCGCCATTTTTGTCAGGCCTGCAGTACTACTGTTAGAAAACGATATAAAACAGATGTGTATCTATATATTGTTCTGTTTTGTTTTTACTTTTTTGCACAACAAAAATGTTTCAGATTTAGCTTATTTATTGAAAACAGTTCTTATTAAAACCTGAAAAGACGTCCCAGAATAGTAAGCCACTGTTAACCTTGATAAATAGTTTTACTTAAGCATCTAAAATTATTTTATTTAAAGTAATATATATACTATGATATACGCCAAAACTATCAGAAATTGTTGTTATTCTGTGATATACATTTTTGGCCATATTGTCCACTACTACACACACGCCCAGTGGCTGTTGGACAGTTGTTTTCGAGCAGGGTTAAAGTCACATGTATGAATTGTACTTTAATGTGACTGAAGCTCTAAGACAAACCAATCCTATTACTGGAGTTAACACTGGGATAAGACACCTCTGTGTGTCTGTATGTGTGGTAACTTTACTATTTTCAGCCCGATTAAGAAGTCCTTGGACATTTCTAGGGAGAGCGAGAGCAAGAAAGAGAGAGCAAGACGAAGTGACGTTCAGCAACACAAATATAGAGGAGCTGAATAAAGCTGTGAAAATACAGTCAGGTCCATAAGCATTTAGACAGTGACAATTTTTGTAAGTTTAACAGAAATATTTCAGTAACGCTTTAGGAATTACAGCCGAATTTTACATAGTCCCTCCATTTTCACTGGCTCAAAAGTAAGTGGACAGTTAACTGATAAGCAGGCCACGTGTGACCTGATCACTTGTTTTTTTTTTTATAACAAATTACGATGAAAGGTCTGGAGTTGATTCCAAATGTTGAACATGCATTTGGTAGCTGCTCATGGGAACGCTAAATTAAGGTGCTAACACTAGGCTGAAAAAAACAAGCCTATCAGAGAGATTAAAAACTATAGATGTAGCCAAAACAACAATTTGGTATGTTCTTAAAAAGAAAAAATGCACTGGCGAGTTCAGTAACACCATGGAAGACCATGGAAGTCAACTGAAGATTCCTTGGACAAATGAAACCAAAATTAACTTGTACCAGAAAGATAAGAAGAGATGAATAAGGAGAAGAAAAGGAAGGGCTCATGATCTGAAGCATACCACATCACCTGTCATACACAGTGGAGGCAGTGTTATGGCATCGGCATGTATGGCTGCCAATAAAACCGTGTCACTGGCTGCTGACAGAAGTAGCAGGATGAATTCTGAAGTGAGAAAGCTATTCTGAAAGCTATACCTTCTGGTCAGATTCAGTCAAATGCTGCAAAACTGATAGGCCGGCCTATCACAGTACAGATGGATAATGACCCAAAACATACCGCAAAAGCAACCCAAGAGCTTGTTAAGGCAAAGAAATGGAATGTTGTTAAATGGCTGATTCAGTCATCTGACTTTTCACAACTTTTTTTTTCAAATTTTGCAACTTACTACTTTACTGAGGACAAAACTGAAGGCAGAAAGACCCACAAACAAGCAGCAACGGAAGGTGGCTGTAGTAAAGTCCTTGCAAAGCATCTCAAAAGAGGAAACTCAGCATTTGGTGATGTCTATAGGTTCCAGACTTTGGGCAATTATTGACTACAAAGGATTTGCATCCAGGAATTAAAACTAATCCTTGTGTTTGTTAATTTGTCCTATTACTTTAAAGCCTGTGAAAATGGAAGGAGTATGTATAAAATAGCAGTAATTCCTACACTTCAATCACATCTTAACTGCTTTATTTTTAATTCAAATCCATTGTGGTGTTGTGCAGAGGCAAAATTAAAGAATTGAGTCACTGTCAATACTTATGGACCTGAATGTAAGCAGTTAGCCCTTCCGTCCATCATTTACAGAAACAGAAAAAGAGAGAGAAAAGGGGCACAGGGAAAGATGACTCACCACCATTTGGAAATTCTTTCCTAAATGCAACATCACTGTGCATGAGTCATCACGCATTACACGTGTGCTGACCACAAAACAGACCACAAAAGCAGGGATGGGCAATTTGAGTAATTTTGTGGTTGAGTACATAAAATAGAGATACAAATAACCAATTTTATTTACAAATTTTAATGGGTATACACTATATGGCCAAAAGTATGTGGTCCATGGGAGGTCAGGTGTCTGTTCAGGTCACTGCAATTTCTCCACACCAAACCTATGAAACCTTATTTATGAGCCTCGCTTTGGGGTCAGGGGCACAGTCGTGCTGGAACAGAAAGGGACTTTCCCCAAACTGTTGCAAAAATGTTTTTTGTATGTGGTACCACTAGCATTACTCTTCACTGAAACAAAGGGGCCCAAACACTGAAAAAGAGCTCGGGACCAGTATCTGTCTTCGACCAAACTTTACTGTGGGCATTTCTGGTAGGTAACATTTTCCTAGCATCCGCCAAACCCAGATCCGTCCATCAGACTGCCAGGTAATGAGGCATTATTCATCACTAAAGAGAACACATTTCCACTGCCCCAGAGTCCAGTGGTGGCATGCTTTACACCACTCCAGCCAACAGTTGGCATTGCATAGTCATCTTAGGCTTGTGAGCAGCTGTGCAGCCATGGAAACATACTTCAGGAAACTCCTAATGCAAAGTCATTCTGCTTTTGTTGTTTCTGGAGGCAGCTTTGGAACTCTGTATGAGTGATGCAGCAGAGAATAGATTATTTTTTACATGCTATGTGCTTCAGCGCTCAGCAGCCCCACTGAGTTTGCATGATCTAACACTTCATGGTTGAGCTATTAATGCTGGTAAATGCTTCCATTTTACAATAACAGCACTTACAGTTGACCAGGGCAGATTTAACAGGAAAGACATTTGGCATCCCATGACAGTGCCACATTTAATGTCACTGAGCTCTTTAGTACAACCCATTCACACAGTAACAGAGCCAGGCTTCCTTTTCTTTGACGTTACA